AAAACTCCTAGCGGCGCTATCTATAACTAAATAAAGATAACTATTTTGCTGCTACATTGGTTTCACTATATAGCTAGAGAACACCTTAAAAGTTAGTATGCCCAAGCCTTGATCGAACCACCCGGTGCTACCATGGACATCTCGACCTAGCTGTAGCAATATAGAAGTTGTACATCGAGAGAGCTGCCACACAAGCATGAGGGAGAAAGGCACACGTGTGACTGCACTTCAAAGCTGGCTTGTGCCAGCAGGTCACTTACTCGGGCTTTCGGGCACGAAAGCCTCCGACCCAAGCTTTGCGAACTTTGCCTGTCTCGCGGAAGTCGCACGCTGCCGTGCGTGCTCGAGTTCTGGCTGCGTCCAAAGCCAGTCCGCTGTGCAGAGCCAGCCTGTACACATTACTGTAAATGTGGTTCGATGAAATGTGGGGCGGCGGCGTGATCATGGCGAATCCTTCGTCGCCATCCTCCTGCATATGTGTGCAATGAGAGAGGGAGAGAAAGATGCACATGCATGGTTTCACACATGTGCACATGCATGCCAGGGTCGGACAAGTAGACCATAATATGTGTAACACAATGCATGCCACGAAACTCGTCCTCCTCGTCCTTCTTCTTTGTGGCCTTTGCTTTTGAGCTTCCCTTGGCCTTTGGCTTTGATTTTGTCTTGGCGGCAGGGGTGCTCTTGGCGCTTTTGCACGGGGCTTCTGCTGCCGCTGCTTCTGAGTCACCCCCATCTTCATCCTCATCATCTTCCTGTGTCACAGTCTCATTGCGGATGTTGTAAGAATAGATCACCCCCTGGCAGTCTTGGAACCTGGTTCTGTCCACTCGTAGCATCCCTTTGCATGGACCCGATTTCATGATCTTTCCTACTGTGCTTGCGATTGGGTCTTCGTCTTCGGGCTCCTCCTCTATTTCGGGGGCTTTCTTCTTCTTCTTCGGCCCTTTCGAATCCTCTGGCTTGGACTCCTCCTGCATTTCGGTGGCTTTCTTCTTCTTCTTCGGTCCTTTCGAATCCTCTGGCTTGGACTCCTCCTCCATTTCGGGGGCTTTCTTCTTCTTCTTTGCTGGTCCTTTCGCGCCCTCTGGCTCGGACTCCTCCTCGAGTTCCGCGCCTTTCTTCTTCTTCGGCCCTTTCGAATCCTCTGGCTCGGACTCCTCCTCGAGTTCCCTGGCTTTCTTTTTCTTCTTTGCTGGGCCTTTCGAATCCTCTGGCTCGGATTCCTCCTCGAGTTCCGCGGCTTTCTTCTTCTTCTTTGCTGGTCCTTTCGAATCCTCCGGCATGGGCTCCTCCTCCATTCCGGGGGCCTGCTTCTTCTTCTTCAATGGCCCTTTCGAATCCTCTGGCTCCTCCATTTCCGTGGCTTGCTTCTTCTTCTTTGCTGGTCCTTTCA